ACTTAGGTGATAAAATTTTTTAGCATAAAATTTTTGTCAAGTAGTCTCAATAAAAAGAATTATTTTGTTACCCTAAGTATTAGCAATAATTATCCTTATGCTACCTATCCCAGATATCTTGTTTGTAACTATCATCTTTATATTATTAGCCCAGTTCTTGTTCTCGTAGATGTCGGATCCTCATTGTGGTTAAATGTCTTTGGTTAAATGTCTGGGCTGGCCATATCCTCCATTGTCTGAAAGCTGGCTGAGGCTCTTCCCCAACACAGAACTCTATAATAGCCCTGACCTACAGGCTTGACTTCCTTGTGGGACTTCATACACAGTTTGAGTGTGCCGTCTACTAGGCTGAATGGAGAGCTGCTGTGTCTCTCTGATTCCTGGGAGGGAGAAAAATTATATGAATGGGTTGTCTGCACAGTACCAAGTCCTTCCACTGCCTTCATGGGCATGTCTTTCTGTCTCTCATGCAGTGAGTTGGCTTCTGGAACACCAGAAGCATGAGGAGGTGGCTCTGAAAGTCCTTTTAGAGAACCTATTTTATTTTCCTCTGATCTGGCTGCCTTTGCTTTCTTTTTGAGGGACCAGTTTCTCAAACTGGCTATACCATTTCTCAACCATGTGTTGGGGTGAAGAGTTACAGAATGCATTTGTGAATGCCGCAGTACACTATCCTTTTTTGTATTGACGAGGTGGCTGCTGCCCTGCCCTGATGATGGACCAGGCATTCCAGAAATGAAGTTGGAACTGCTAAAGTCAGAAGAAAACTCTCCCAGGGGTGGCCCGGTGGCGCACTGCTACAGTGCGCCGCTTGGAAGCGAGGCGGCGCTCCCGCCAAGGGTTCGGATCCCACATACACACCGGTTCCTGCTCACTGGCTGAGCGAGGTGCGGGTGCAACACCGAGGGTTGCGATCCTGTTGCCGGTCCCGGTCCGGTATGGGCGTGACACTGAGGGTTGCGATCCGTTGCCGGACACACACAAAAAAAAAAAAAAAAAGAAGAAGAAAGCTCTCCCTGTTTTCTTTGAGCCTGAAAATTGCAACCTATTGGAGAGGGATTTTCAGTGGGTGTAAACACGGAATGTTCAGAAGTCTGAGAAAAAGGACTGTCCTGACAGCTCACTGATGAGCCACAGGGGGAAGTGCCTGGGAAGGATAAGCTGGAACAGCTAGTCTTTGGGCAAAGGCTTAATCTTGGGGGTAAAACCTTCTCAGTGTTTTGGTTTGTGGCACTACTCTTGCCCACCTCAATCCCCATGACCAAACTCTGATTAATAAGCTTTTGCCCCTCTATTTGCAAAGACTTATGCTGTTTGAGATAATCCTCCTCTCCCTGCAAGAGACCAGCTTCACAGCTGGTTTTATGTTGTTTCTTTGAATCATTGCCCCTGAGATAGGTCAGTTTGCAGTGCTGGTTATCTATGTTGGGCTCTGAGCAGCGCCGGTGTCGCCTCAGGGTTTTTGGAGCATATGTTGCATCTGAGGACAGGTAGCTGGGTGTGCACATGTCACATGGGGCCCTGGCATGCTCCTGCAGTGGGAGGGCTTCTCTGTACATCACTGCAATGGTCATCGGCTTGGATTCAAGAGGCTGTTTCATTTGAATGTCTTCATCATTAGACTGGTCTAAGTCAAAGTCACTCAGGGTTAAAAGGCCTTCCACCTCAGGCTGGTCAAGACCTTCCATCTCAGGCTGGTCAAGGCCTTCGGCCTCAGCTGGTCAAGGCCTTCCACCTAAGGCCGTTCAAGGCCTTCGGCCTCAGGCTGGTCAAGGCCTTCAACCTCAGGCTGGTCAAGGCCTTCCTCCTCAGGCTGGTCAAGGCCTTCGGCCTCAGGCCAGTCAAGGCCTTCCACCTCATGCTGGTCAAGGCCATGGTCACTGAGGGTTAAGTCAGACTCCATGCTTCTGCTACTCTGGTCATGTTTCTTTGTCAAGTCACTACATGGAGCATCCACATCCCCATTTACTTCCTTTTCCAAGCT